CAACATGCGTTTGAAGTGTTGTGTAGCATTGTAATCGCACTGAAGTGAAACATCTCAATGTAAATGGTAAATTGTTCTTCTGTCAACTGTTTTGTTTTATGTGTCATTAAAGGATTTTATCTTAATAGTCTTTATTCAAAGAGCATATTTCACCTCAGTTTTATGGCAGTCGTTTTGACGTGGACTAGAAATGGTCTGGGCACGGATTGTATTTCAAAACAAAATGTATTACATTAACCTGAAAAATAAAAGTGTCTCACCATCTCACTGTGTAGGTACATAAACATTAATATTACCTCAAATATGTCAGAGTTTATCAGTTTATCCTAATTTTAAAAAATAGCTTTACTCTTAGTTTTTAATTGTCTTTAATTTACCAACTAATTTCACTGAAGCCATTTAAACTCTCTGATCATTTATTTTTCAGAGTACTATTTATTGGTCACAAAAAAAAAAAATGTCTTTTAGGGTTAGGTACTAAACTTGAATAAGTAAATTGACAAGAAATGCCCCTAAAAATACATTAATCTATATAAAGTAAAAAACAGCAGAATTGAACTAGATATTTCTTTACAAAAAATCAAAATGCTTCTGCAACTTGTTTCATTTACACTTACCACCCAAACAAGCTTATGAATCCGAACTCAGAATCCGAATTTGTTTTTAACCAAATGAACAATTGCAATTCATATCAGTTCGTATGAGATAGATGTCAACCTGCTTGTCTTCTCTCTAGTGTGTGTGTATGACAAAAAACCATTTGGTAATGGTACTGTACATGGCTACTGATGTAAAAGTTCCTGAAAAAGCTTGAGTATTTTGACAACAGCGAAACCATTGTCACGTTAGTTACACCTCAATTTCGATTCTGGCAGTAAAACACAAAGTAAAATGCTAGAAATGCTCTGTTTTAGCACTCAATGTTTGCTATAACCGAAGTCCTGCTTAAAGCCCTCCAGAGACCGAGAGCACTGCTCTGTTTGTGAACATCTGCACTGGTCATTAGAACGAGAGATGGCCTCAATCTTTCAGCTAGCTTCAAAACAACTGAAGAAAACACAAGACAAACTACACCGGGCTGCACTGCGCTAGTCCCGCCGGAGAGACCAGGCTAACCTTTGACAGACAACACAGCAACGACTTTGCTACTTTAGTGTCATGTCAGCTAACAATAAATGTGTTTATATTTGAGAATTATTGCTCTTATCAGCTGAGGGCGTAAACTAGAGCACAGGAGAACTAGAGAACTTCTGAACCAAGAAGTTATGCATTTGTGACCTTTTCAAAATTACAAGGAGAGTGTTAGCAGGTTAGCCGAAGGAAAAAAAAAATGAGTATTGCACACCTGCACAGCACCCAAAACATAGATTAAACTAAAATAGCTGATTGGACGCAGTTTGTGTTGAGGTCCACATACTGCGATTTTTCAAACAATTTATCTCTGTCTCCTTAGGTGGTGACTCTTTGGACTGCTCAATGGCACAAACCCAAGTATGATGCTTCTTATGTTTTCAAGGGCGATAGTAGCCGAACATCACTTTCCATGGATGCGGAGAGCAACGACTGCATCCAAGGTACACTATTTTTTCTTTTATAAAATATGTAAGCCACCTGCAGTTTTTAATACAACTACTTTATCTTGGAACCGTCCTGAAATCACCATTTCATGATCAAGACAACAAAGTAATTATATCTTTATCTGTAAGTGTGCAACCAAAATGTTCCTGACTTTAAAGATTGCTCTCATTTTGTTGACCTACAGATAAACATATGGCACATACATAAATGCATGGAATCTGCGCGTGACTCCAGATGCAAATACTGTATGAAAAAGTGAAAGATACATTTTTATGGTTCATTTCCAAAAGTTTACACAGCACAAGGTAGATGCGGACCACAGAGTGGTTCCTGAATGAGGGGCGAGAGGGGAAAAAAATACAAGTTATTACAACCAAACCATGCTTTACATGTTGGTTATCTTTCACCGATAGCCAGCTTTCCATAACGGTAATAAATCCAGTCATGTTGACTGCTCTGTGAGTTTGCTTGCATTTACAATCTTAGTAAAACCACTGTAGAGGAAAATTGAAGTTGGATTTAAAAAAAAATGAATGAATAGATAGATAAATAAATAAGTGGTCACCCAGCGCTGTCTTTAAAATGGATGCCTGAAATTTACAGTTTTCCATTAACTGATGCCTAACAGCTTCCCTCTCCCTGCTTGCATCATGGGCTTTCCTGTCTGTAACTACTTTCTGACAGGGTTCATTTCTGCCCGTTTCTCAACTTAAATGTGTCCGTGGCTTTTTTGTCTGTGCCTTTTAACTTTATCGCTCCAACGCTATAAAAATGCAACCGCATCGGCATTAACACTGGCACGGCGGTTATTACTTTTATCATCAATGGAGATGTCCGCACGCAATCAAAAGAATCATTTGTTGTTGATATGACAGGCCAATACCATTTACCCATATTTTGAGAGCAACACGAGCATAGAGTCGGACCCGATACTGCTTTCCATCAATAATTACCTTCTTGATGCTTTGAATATGAATCAAATGATATTCTATCCCCACACCAAAACGATTTCTGCCTCTCCCTTCGATTACAAAAACCCCCACATCATATTTGATAATACGTACTAAGGGAGAAAGGTCCGGGAAGGCATAAATCTTTTTTTTTTTTTCTTCTTATTTAATTTGTTTTTGTGTGTGTTGCGATAGGGATTATTATTTCTCAGCTGGTGGGATCACATCGCTCATGGTTGTAGACCCCTGAAGAATTCTATTAACCCTGGTTATGTCAGCCTTAATAACATGCCACATTGCTAAACAGGACTGGATTGATTCTGTGCAGACGTGGGGGTGGGGAATCTTGTATAATAAATCCAAGCATAATTTACTTGGAATAAGAACGAGCAAAATAGAACACAGAACAAAGAGGAAGGGATTAAGTCTATCTCTTATCTCGTCGGCACTAACTTAGGAAAATAAATAGGGAAACGATCCAATCGAGGGGAGTACGTTGGAGCGCTCTGTGGAACTGCCGATTGATTGGCTCGTCAATGAAGGCTGCTTTTCTTTTGTTGTGTTGCAGATGCGATTTGAGAAACTGGGACTGTGCCACACTCGGCACTAATTTGCTGCTGGCGAGGAGACAGCGAGCTGGAGGCGTTGGAAGACCACTCATGTGATGGCCAGAATCGAATCAATTCAGTCACCTTGAACTTTGAAGATGAACGAATCACTGAGTTGGCCTCTCTCCAACCTCGCTGTCAGTGAGGTGTGTTGTCAAATTATTAAGAGACATATTACAGAACATACACATGTACAAGGACCTTATTAGGTGCATCTATTTCAAGCCGTCACCTCACCACGAAGAATGATCTAATGACACATATGGAGCCATCTATCTCGTCGCCGTTGTTGTTTGAGGCACAAACTTGTGAGCGTCGTCGGGAATGAAGATGCAGTTTAGCAGGGCATAGTCAATGAGGCTTACTGCAAGATGGTAATCTCAGCCTGCCTCTGGCCCTCTGGCGATGCTTTACAGTCGCGTTTCCCCAAAGCCTGCTTGTGTACCGCGCCTAATGGAGACTCTCTCATCGCCCATGCCAAAATTAAATGAACTGTGCCTTTTCAAAGCGCCTCCTGCCTACTGTAGCTTCTAGCACGCTCACAAAGCTGTGACTCCCTGGAGCGTCCCGTTGAGCATTTACATCATTTTATATACATACAGTAGCACACGCGTGTACGCCAGTTTACTAACATGTGTAACTATTAGGTTGAGACACTGCGAGTGAACAAAATGCTGCTTTGTAGACCTAAATTACAGCTGCATGATGTGATTATTTTTTAAATGTTGCAAAATGAACAGCGTAATAATGCTGTGGTAGCTAAATGCTTTGAATGTATTCATTCCTAATGTTCACGAAAATGCAGAGAATATCCTGCCATTATCTTAGGTTGTGTACGCACTTGTGACATCATATATGTAGTGTAAACAAGAAGTAGCAATGCCAATGTAAGATTAAGATTTAAAAACAATATATCATATTTGTGTATTATTTTTATATTCCATATTATGTATTAATATTTTATTTAATACTATTTAATTAATTATATACATTTAAAATAATGATGGTAATAATTAAAAAAACTATTTGTAAGTTGTTTGTGGCCAATCAAAGGTCAAATTCCACAAACCTCTTCAGTCATGAAAAACAAGATTTCGAATTATTAGATTTCAATTTGATTGTCATAATTTCTGGAGGATGCTTTTTGTAGAATATTGCTTATTTTCCTGGTCACGTGATGCTTTCTTTGCACATTGATCTGGCTTTAAATCTAATTGAAAATAATTTAAATTGATTTGATTGCTTCAAAGGTTAACTGCAAATCATATTTTTCCTACCGATCTTACACCCCTACAAGAAAGTAGCTTATGCACTCTTTCCTTTTTACTCATTAGGAGAGAATGACCAGACGCTAAATATGTTAGAGTCTATGTTTGTCTGTTAGCCGAAAATGTAAACTAATGTTGGGGACGTACATAGAGAGGTTGGGTTTCTAAGGGAAACCTTCCATCAGTGGACAAATGTAAGCTGATTGAACAAGAACCAGGGTGGTCTTTTGGTAAACAATGTCCTTCTATCAAGCCTCAGTGTGTTGATTGAATTCAACAAGTGAATCCATTGAAAACTCACAGAAATGGGAGCAGTTTATAGGCTCATAAAGATCCCCTTTGAGCTCCTTTTCTATTATGAAGAGCAAAGGATATCTAACAGCATGGGAGAACTCTGGGCGTTAAGGGCGGCCATTAAAGCCAGTGTTAACGGCAATATGGCTTTTTGTGACAGTTGCTTTGTTATGAGTTTGACAGAAGGCCCTCAGAAAGGTCTGTTTAGAATGTGGTACAGAATCAGCTGTTTTCAGTGACATTTTGTGTGTGTAGAGTCTAGAGTGCGTGTTATTATAAAAATAGTGAGTTTTTCCTCTTACCGTAGGTAGTCCCTCCGACAGAGGATGAGGTTGGCTTTGGTGTACAGCGTGGAGCCCACCTCTCCGAGACGGCAGTCGCAGCAGGCGCACTTGAGGCAGTCTTCGTGCCAGTACTTGTCCAGGGCCTTCAGCAGGTAGCGGTCCTTGATTTTCCGGTTGCAGCCGGCACAGCCCTTTGGCTTGGTGTCCGGCTGGACGGAGAGCATTTGTATACCTGCGGAGAAAGACAACAAGGGGCGACACAAAGGTGAGAACATGGTTCCTGGTTACTTTTGCAGGTAAAATCATGTGCTCTGCATTTCAGTCAAGAGATGAACACACACTTTTTAGTCAACGATAACAAGAAGCCAATGTAGCTAACATCCTCCTCTTCCCCCTCTTTAGGGGAGGGGCCAAAGCTTGCCCCCAGAGCAGGCATTGTGTAGCCCTTCACAGGGCGTGAAAGGGCTTTGTTGGGTAGAGAGGGAACAATGTGGGCTCATGCTGAAGGCCTGTAATTAGTATTCTCCTTCCATACAGAGGAAAGTAAGCTGTACCCCCCCCCCCCCCCACGCCACCACTCCGGCCCCTCTTTTTGTCCTGGCCCAAAAAGTTTCTGTCCTACATTTTTACAAGTACGTCTGATTCTGAACCGTTGTCCTGCCATGGAGACAGTCCCCATTTCTCACCTTGTGCAGGAGAAGCTGTCAGAGCCATAGATTCCACCTAATGTATATGCTGCTCTTGGAGGGGGGTGAGAGCGCGAGCAGTGAGAAATTGCGAACTTTGAGAGGGTCACCGAGAGATTTCTCAGCTGTGGTAAATTGAGTGTCTCTGTCTGAATTGAGGACCTCCCTCGGGATAGTTATAATGTGCTCTTCGCCGCGATGCGTTGTCCAGGCAATCTCGCTGAAATACATTCATAGAGGAATATGAGATTAAAAAGCCTTGTTTGGAATTCATGAATCTCTCTTGACAAGAAAAGTTTGTGAAACATTTGGTGTAACAGTTAGGGTATATTTGGTAGATTTCCCAAAAATGAAATTTCTGACATCATTTACTCGCCCTCATGTCATTACAAACTTGTTTGACAGCTTCATGGTATGGATAAAACATACGCAATGAACGTGAATCAAGGCTTTCAATCCCTAACATCATCTTTTGCGTTCTGCAGAAGAAAGAGAGTCTTATGGGTTTGGAACGACACAAGGGTGAATACATGTTGAAATTTATTTTTGGATGCATGTCAACACACTGGAGACCATTAAGACTCTGCCCTACCTAACAGACAGAGAGTTTGCCGCTCTCTTTTTTTTTTTTTTTTAAACATGTGGCCTTGACGATAATTACTTTCAAAAATGATTTGCCAAAAGCGTGGCAGTTGGCCCTCTCAGAAAATAAACAAGACAGTGCACCAATTAGTAAGACTGAGGACAGGTGTGAAATTGTTTCAATTCAACTGAGCATTACAATGCAGGGAAAGGAACAGCAGGTAGCCGATCCCTCTAGGGTCATAATTATAGCCTAGAGCAAATATCTGATGCAGTACCATAGGCTTAGACTGTGAACAACTTCTTTCTGCTGTAGGACCATGCTCGTTAAGATGTAGGAACATTCACTGAAAATGAGGCAAGGGATAATGATGATTCCTTCGACCTCGCTGGTGTTTTTATGGCGCTTTATTTTGAGTTTATTCAAAGGAGAGGGCTTGATGAGGGGAAAACTGCAAGGAGGCACATCAGACAGGTAGCACCGCCACACTGTTTATCCCATTGTGTTTAGGCTGTTGAGCTTTTAATTGGCTGGATTGGATTGTAAGAGGAGCACACGGCTGATTTCCTCTGCTATGCATCCTTGTTCTGTCCCACTCATCCGCACCGTCCCAGCTCGCCTGGTTAACACAACAAAGTCACCGCCTCTCATTATTACCAAGCCAAAGAAGTTAGAGTTTCGACTCCCCTCTGTCCACAATCATGGTTGGTCCCAAATGAATCGATTATGGGACAAATTAACTAGCCCTTCAATTCAAAAGCCTGGATGTCCAATTTCATTTTCTCTAATGTCCGGGGCCTCATTGATTTTCCTATATCAAACAGTGAACAAAAGACTAACACACTGGAATTGGGCCTAGCTAGGTAGCCATTTTTAAAAAAAATACAGTAACCAAATGATTTTTCCACTGATGCAGAACAGTGAGTGCACTAATGTTCTATGAATCTACAACGTAACCGATTCCTGAACGCATGACTCTTATGAATCGGTTCTTTTTAGTGAATCAAAAACATGCAGCGCAACGAGTGTAGTTCGAGTCCTAAATGACTCTTGTGAGCCGGTTCTTTCAGCGATTCAAACACACTTTTGAATCAGTACGAGCTGTTACTGAATTTATCCTGACGCTTGATTATTACTTTCATCATGTTCGGCTCGGAATGAACCAAGCTGTTATGTGTTAATGCTCGTGAGACTTAAAACAGTGTCTTTACTGACTGAATGTCATGAGATGTACATACAAATACGCATTATGAGTTATTGTACCCAGAGTTATGGCTATTTCATAAGAAATAAATCAATACTTAATGAAATGTCACCACATGCCGCCTCTGAGAAGTCTATGAAAAGTAGCCTATAGCCCGTGCAAACCCATCTTTTGAAAGAACTGAAATAAATGTATTTTCTTATTTGTTATATCGATTCTGAAACTCGTGGTTTGGCAATAGATTGCTAAGGGCAGTAAATGCTAAACGAATAGCAGTTTCTCACGAAATATTTCTTCCTCAATCATTAATGGAAACGTTAATGATTCGGGATCGTTACGCGCAATGGACTTCGCAACAAAAATCGTTAAATGCTCGTCCCTATGTGTGGGACATGAGTGTCCTTTTTTGTCTTTGCTCGCTCACTGAGTCAGATCTTTCATTATGTCCCGTTCGCATAGTGATACGATGCTCTTTGTGCGCTTCACTGTTCGCAGACTGAAGGGGAAATTTCAGGCTAGACTTGGCAAACAGCGAGAGCAAAGTACCAATTTGATTTCACATCACAGCTGCGCGAGCCGGAGATGCTGACATTTCACCCTCTTATCAGTTTAATTACTGTTGCCATGGCAGCGTAGTGCACGGAAAAGGCCAATAAGATTTGCAGCTTACAAAATGACGAAATGAAACCGTTAACGTGTTAGACACAATGATACGCAACGGCACACCACAACATTATGTACAATTGTTTAAGCAAACCACGAAAATTCACACACGGGGAGAAAAAATGAAGAAAATGCTTGGCTTCAGTAAAATGCGGGTAAGACAAAACTGCGCTATACGCATAGAAAATCCAAACTACTCAGCCACACATTTAAACACATCACACACGTTGATATGATGCAAAACGGAGCTCTTACCGAAACTTTTCTCCCTTTTCTGCATTGGTTGACCCGCTTCGGCTCCCAGAAACACCATGCAACAAGACGAGGCGCGAGCCAAAGATGCGCGTGAAGTGAGCAGCTGTATGCGCGCGAGGGTGCTTCGCTTTTGTTACAAGTAACAATCCACCTCGCTTCGCCAGAAAAGAGTGAAAACGTCGAAAACACCAATCAACAAAACACGGGAGGGGAGGAAAAAAGAAAGAGCGAGCCGCTATCGCTCAGCATCACACGCTGTTAAGACTCCGTTTGTCACAACAGTGCTCGACTATGAAATTAGATCGACCAGCAGCCGTGGCGAGGCAAGTGGCGGCGAACAAATGACAGCGGATGACAAAGGCATATGCTTTACCCCTTCGCGCGCGCCGTAATCTTATAATCCTATAGTGCCTCTCGCTATTCGCCTATTTCAGTGCACGTACAGTAAAAGGCACGAAGTTGGATGTAAACAAGGGACAACAAACAGGAACTCGCCTAACCTATTTACCAACTACATTTGTTCAGAAGCATTAGAATGTAAACACGAATTCAACCTCGATCACATTACCAACACCCTTTTCAAATTCTTTCAAGCTTTAAAAAGAGCACTGGATCCCCCGACTTAATCGATATTTTCAAATTACAAACTTTAATGCAAATAAAGAACATAGCCTATATTAAAATGCTTATAATGCTCATGCACATCCTTTACGTAGTATGCTATATATCCAGTGCTGTCTTATTGAGTTAATGTCTATTGTTTGTCGTTTATATTTGATAAATTGCAGATAGCTTGGATGTATTTTAAGCGTTGCAGTAAAAGAAACATTTTTATATTCCATTTGCTCTAAAATGTGCAAAAATGACAACACACCTAACATTGACTTTGCTGAATTGGTTTATCTGAAATAATTTGAATCACAGATTCACATGCGCAAATGATGCGATGCATCTACACACTGCATGTTGTACTATTAAACACCAAAGACCACTTGAAGCAAACTCGGCTGATTAGGCAATTAGTTTTGCAGTGTAATTAGGAGCAAAAGAATGAGAACAAATCCGTTCGGAAAAGACAACTAATGCACAACACACTCACCTTCTTGACCAAGTTATGCGGAAGGTTAACTTAAATAGAGCACCGACTCCAACTCAATATTCCTCGGAGCAAAAGTTCACGAATCTGACATTGCACCGCGGATAAGAGTGATCTTCAGGTTGAAAATAATGAGGTCCACATGGATCAACTACGAGTAGTTGTTCGCACCAAAAGCTACAGGTGTTCTCGCGCGAGCCGTCATGTATTGAGTATTCTGAGAAGGCTCACAACAACTTGCCCATCACTGAGTGAGGAACGAGCAATAGTGAAGCCTAGCTTTATTATCTTCAAACCCAATCCCTCACCAGTGAGACATTACACGAGGAGGAAAAGGTCATTCGGTTATTACCGACTGCGGAGTAACGGAGCGCGCGCTCGCTAACACAAACTTAATGCTCACCTCTCTGAGACGCGCGCGCAAACATGCTATGAGCTCTGTCCTACACGTTTAGACTCTCTCTCTCTCTCTCTCTCTCTCTCTCTCTCTCTCTCTCTCTCTCTCTCTCTCTCTCTCTCTCTCAGAAGCTCGGCATCAAATTCGCACTGCTAGTGTTTTATTGCAGATAAATTTGTCTATCAGACGTGTCTGTCATTTTTACGACAGCTTTTTGTGCACGCGCAACTAGTTTTACTAGTAGCCTAATTGTCTGCCTCTGAATGCGAGCAAATACACTCTTATAAATACACTTTTATGTAAGAACCTTAAGTTTCACAAATAACTTTTTTATTCTGATTCTTTAAGAAACCATCTGGTGCTTTAAAGGAACTAGCCATGCTGCCGAAATGAAGAACCATTTAATTTCAGAAACTTTTTAATAAAAGAAAATCATATAAATAAAACAAGTATCATTTAAAACAAGAAATGGTTCTTGATAATGACAAACATGTACTTTGCTGATCACAAGGAGCTGCAGTAAACCACTGAGGAACATTTCATTTTAAGAGTATAAGAAAAATACAGTATGAATGCCATTGGACTTGCACACCGCTGAGCACACCAGGTGCAGATCAGTTCTCAAATCCAGGAATATTTTGGTCTTCTATGAAATCAACACACCTAATTCATTCACTATTTAAGTGATTTGTTTAATAATTGTTTGTTGGTTCAGACCATAATCAGAGCTGTCTTGATTGAGTTAATGAAAAATTGACGTAATCTAAAGCAGTGGAACAAAAAACATCCGATGACTTCTGAATAAGCCTATCTTTAACTTTGTGTGTGATATCTTGTCTGAAAGTGTTTTGTCTGCCTCCACTTATAGGCCTAAATCAAGCTGTATTACCCCAGGCCAAACAATAAACATTTCCCTTATTGAACTTCCATGCTATGTGATCACTGTGCACCTGCAAGATCAAAGTCCATGAATACCTGGATACAATTTTTAACTGTCTATATGTGAAGGTGTGAGAGAGAGAACTGTATTTCACAGTTGCTTTTTCAGCCAAGCTATTCCTCGCCCATTGGTTACACCTGTTTACTCTAATTAGCACTGCTTGATGCCCATGTTACCGAGGTAGGATGAATCACAGGCCTTCAGTGCCACCTACCCTCCCTCCCCACACACATACACACGCAGAGAGAGAGAGAAAAGGAAACATAATCACACACTCAGAGTAGAGTTTATTTTCTGTCATGGCCAAAAAAGAAGTAATTTATCGTCAGCCCAGTTTGGAAGTGACTAAACTGAGAATGTGGAGACATAGAACTGATGGTAACAGAGTTGAGTAGTGGTAAGATTGTGGCCCCATGCCAATCACTCTCTGCCTAAAATACAGCAGTAATGAGATGGGTCATAAAATGCTCCTCGCTTCCATTATGAGTGATGAGATGCATTAAAGCTGACAGGGTATTACCTGCCAGTAATTAGGTTTTGTCATGGATTGAATTATTTCAAAGCGGGCTATCTTGGTAATCATGCAATTTGCGGGGGAGACGGTTTAAGCTGAGTAAAAGGGAGCGAGTGTGTGTGTGTGTGTGTGTGTGTGTGAGAGAGAGAGAGAGAGAGAGAGAGAGAGAGAGAGAGAGAGAGAGAGAGAGAGAGACGCTGTAACCCCTTCTTTCCCTACTCTCCCGCCATCACTTCATCTCACGCATTATCACGTCAATTATTCACCGAAGATATCTGAATTATTGGAGGTGATGAGCTAGAGAGTGCCATCATCAGACTGTGCCGCGCGAGGTGAACACAGCCTTCCGTCACGTTGCGTGAAGCTCGCGCGGAACAGTCTAGCCCGCGCGGAGGGAAGCGCGCGCAGTCTTGGCGAACGGACGTCGTTAAAATGAAGAGCAGCTTATTATTTCACCTCACTCTCTAGCTCTCTCACTCACTATTCCCTCTTTCTCTCTCTTTTTCACACACAGACTTGCAATTTAATGTCAGCAAAGAGAGGGATATCCGATCAGACGACCACCCCACTTCATCCGAGCACGAGGAATGCAGGTTCGTTTTTGTGGTAGAAATGAAAGCGGGAGTTTAATTACAGGGCTTCATAAGGGAGGAAAATCTTTCTCAGGGATGATTGGAGTAAAAGAAAATTTATTTCCTGGTACTCTTACCCGGATTTAAGCCTCCTTTGAGCATCTCCAGCGAACATTCATTTCACGGAAGCTTCAACTTAATCCCAGTTTTAAACCGCTGCTAGTAACTTAAAGAGAATCTAATGCTCTCGCGCACCCACCACAGCCACTCACAATGTAATGTACGCAAACGGCTCTAACTCTGCGTTTCCTTATTGAAGAGAGAAAACAAAGTAGTTGGAAATTATCCCGAGATCCTTTATCCTAACAACCTTAATTAGAACAAAAAAATCAGTTAGTTCCGGTTTAGGGTCAAATTAAATCGCTGCACGAATAAAGAGCTTCCAAGCTGCTTAATGAGGCTGCAGATCAGACTATGTTTGAAGAAGAGAAAATCTGATTGAAAGATACTGTACCGAGGAAAAGTTGCAGATTAAGACGAGATGGTAGTTCAAATATAGCCGGTTCCCTTGTCAAGTTCCAGGCGAGCGGGTTAAAAACGTGCAGCCCGCCTCAGTGCAACTCCTCCTCGCTCCCGCTCTAAAAAGACTCCCCTCCTTCTCCCCACGACGGCTGTTTCTTCGCTCGTGGTCTCGTTCCCTCCCTGGCAGCAAAGCAAAACAGACCTGAGCCGGCCCGCACGTCTCCTCGCCTATTTAAGCACCTTCACCAGGTCCCTAGTTAGCAGCACACTCCAGCTCATCCAAGAAGCTGACAAGCACCGTTAGGGAAGGCAGCGCATGTTGCTCTAATGGACCTCATTAAGTTCTACTTACAGATGTTCTCTTAACATAATTGATCTGCAGCGAGTTGAGAGGACGGCAACCTATTCCCTAGCCCCCAATTATGGCCCGGTAATTAGATCCCCAACCTCCAGTTCTCCACATTCACCCTTCTAACATTCCGAAATATCAAAGTATCTCTTTCTCTCAAAGCAAACCTTCCTGCCTCCCCCACCACCTAACCTTCGTGTCTCCACCTCCTTTGCTCCCTCCCTTCCCTAAGACTCCATTCCTCTGACAGTATTGACAGTCAGATCTGCTAACCTTTGTAGTGAAGCCAGACTTAGTAGTGCACTCACTCCAATTGACAGAGCTCAGTCTAGCTTTTTTTCCCCTCTCGTTTTTTGCTCTCTCTCTCTCTCTCTCTTTCTCCCTCTCTCTCTGGTTCTCATTTTCTCTCCCTGCTCAAATACCCAGGGAAAGAGTGAAGGATGAAGCCTGAGACATATGGAGGGGGGAGACGGATGGATAAAAAACAAGTTTGCACTTTTTGATAAAAGGTTGTAATGATAATATCTGTCAGGGGAGGATCTCTTTTTTTGCACAATGCCTTTTTATCTTTAATAATTCCACTGATGGTGAATGTGAGTGAAGAAGGGAGAGAGGCAGGTGGTGTGAACGGTGAGAAGAGATGGTGCAGCGTTTATAATCAGAGCCACTCCCTCCACCCGCTTAATTATCCGGCGTGCTAAAGCACATAGCACTTTAGGGAAATGAGAATGTCACGCTTACGCACTTAAAAGAGGAGACTGTTTCGTCACACAGAGAGAGGAGGAAGCAGGGCTGGGTGCGCCTGGTGCCAATCATCTGCGTACAATTTTCTAGATCATGTACAGTTTGTGATGTGAACTCGACATGACCGTGTAGGCAGCGGAGCTTTGCGAGAGTGCAAACATTGCAATAATATGTGATTTTTGTTTTCTTTTGATGCCTTACAGGTGTTTGATTAATGTTCAAAGAGGTCCAGTCTGTAAATTTACTTCCATGACTTGAACTCTTTCAAGAGCCGATATAATGCATAGTGCCTTTTATTGCTGGAATGATT